AGATTTAAGACTGTCGTGGTGAAAATACTATGTTTGTATTTCTTTATTTCTACTTACCTCTAGAGTTTCTTTCAGGCATCTCTTCTGGGGAGGGGGGGGGCGAGGTGGAATTTATTTAGTAAACATACTTTTACTAGTGTCCGCCCCCCGGAAAATGTAGACCCCCCCCCCCCCCCGAAGAAATAAGTCTGGAAGAAACACTGCTTACCTCCATTTGAACTGTTGATCGACAAATAATTTTTTTAGTAATGTTCACCATTTTCTTAATGTAATGATAATTTTTGTAAATGTTGATGTAGTTATTTCTATTTGAAAATAAAAGTATTATTTTAAGAAAATGGTAGTAACCACAACATGCAAGTAAATGGCACATTTAAAGTGATTAGATAATTTAGATAATAATGTGCTTAAAATCTTTAATTTTGTTTACAAGACAGCGCCTATCTGGACAATGAATCGTACGGTGTGCTACAGGCTACAGCTTGGATTCCTTTGTTGGACGCTACTGAGAAAAATGGATGCATGGAGGTTGCTTTTTTTTTTTTTTTTTTACATCTTGGAAAATTGTTGTATTAATTGTTGAAAAGTAAAGTTGCCCTTTTCGAACCTGACAATCAATGGGGCAAGTGAAGTAGAGTTCGCCTGTTTATTTGACCAGAGTTTCCGCCAAGCATCTTTTCGGGGGGGGGGGGGGGGGGGGTGGGGGGGATGGAATTTATATAGAAAACATATTCTTTTACTAATGTCCGCCCCCACGGAAAATGTAGTCAGCCCCTCCCCCCGAAAATATCAAGTGCTTTCCCCCCTGCCCCCCCCCCCCCAGAGAAAAAAGTCTGGAAGAAACACTATCAGTGACCTAGGCATATGAAGGGATAGTGTGTTCAGCACTATGCCTAGCCGCTTTTACTTTCCCTGACGTGAGTTAGGTACCCATCAGAGCTGGATGGACTCAACGACGTTCGACTGACTTGAACCCGGATTTAAACACCAGACTTTCAGATTAGCAGTCTAGCGCTCTACCGTTAAGTCATGCGTCCAGTAGTTGAAAATGAGTTTCCAAATTCCCTTTATATATCCCGTTTTTTTTTTTGTTTTTTTTTTTTTTGTTTTTTTTTTTACATCAAACGGTATGTAGATATATAGCAAATGTTTTCTTTACTGGTTGTAAAATTGCAGGTAATATCAGGTGGTCACCTGGCCGGCAAAGTGGCAAGACACACCTGTTGCTGGGGAGACACCTGGTATGTAGAAACAGATGTAGAGCATGCAGAAAAAACTCTGAGTAAGTGTTTGTATTTTTATATGGCCGTTTGATTTTGACATTCCAAGTAAAATACGAAGGAAACATAGTGCATGATATTCCCAACATAATGTATTAATGCATTAATCTTAATTAAGAGATTTAAGGTTTCTCATATAGACCTAACGATCGATAAGCACAGTTCGCGTTTGTGTATTCCTTGACCTCAGCTTGTTGAGGGATGATGTGGTCAACACCATTCTTTACTGTCTCCGATGTGAATAGGGCTTGTAAGTAGGTCACAACTTCTCGTTTTCGTACGTGCTAGCTAGTAGATTTCGAGACCGTAGACTTACAAGCCCTATTAGGGACTTCCTGCTGTCCTTAAGTCCGGACCGAGATCCGAACTAGAGACCTTTGAGCTAGCTACCCAACACCCTACACTGGCCAGAAGTACAAAGTTCCTGCACAAAAAATTATATGAAAGCTTGCAGGATTTCATGCGTGAGGTCTTGTAAACGATTTATGTGCTGCTATCTATATAAGCTCAACATCTGTATTCTCTTTTTTGACACCAGTTTCTATTTAACCCGCGAACACCTTTTTATTTTAAAATGTGAGAAAATATATTTTTTTGGTAGATGTAGATTTTGTGAAGGACAAAGTTCTGTGCCCAGTCCCCTATGGTGGAATGTTGCTTATAAACAACATGATACCACATAGGAGGTAAATTTGCTGTGTTTTTTTTTATATTATTTACAACTAAATTATTGAAAATGCATTAGTATTAATGTATTTAAGAATTTCGAGAGGTGATTTATATTAGCACGTCATGTTCATTATTTCTTTCAGACTTTTTTCCTGTGGGGGGGGGGGGTGGGGACACTGGTAAAAGTAAATCATCTTATCATCTTTTCCCATGTGTGCCCAAGACACATGGGGCAGATGAAGTAGAGTTCTTCTACTTCAGAGAGAGGCATATGAAGGGATAGTGTGGTCAGCACGACGTGAATTAGATACCCCTTAGAGCTGGGTGTACTCAGTGACGTTCTAACTCGAGACTTTCGGGTTAGCAGTCTAGCTCTCTACTGCTAGACCACGCCGTCCCATTAAAATATTTTTTTAAATAAAAATTGTATTAGGAAGAGATACCTAGAAGAAGAAGTCAGTGTTTCTTCCAGACTTTTTTCTCCGGGGGGATACTTGACATATCGGGTGGGGGGGGGGGCGAACAAAATTTTCCGGAGGGGGGGGGGGCGGGGGCGGGGCGGACACTGTTAAAAGTATATATTTTCTATATAAATTCAAATTCGTTCGGGGGGGGGGGGGCGTTAGACTTCTTTGGTGGGGGCAGAGTTTCTTCCAGGCATCTCTTCGGGGGGGCAAACCCCCCCCCCCCCGAAAATTTCTGGAAGAAACACTGGGTGGGGGGGCCTCCAATCCCCCGACCCCCACCCCCCCTCCCCCACCCCACCCCACCCCACCCCGAAGAGATGCCTGGAAGAAACTCTGGAAGAAGTGTTCATGTCAGTTGATCAACTTTTTAAAATGTCTTTATTGCGTGACAGCCTCAACAATTGTTCTGATGAAATTCGCTGGAGCCTTGACCTACGCTTCCAATCACAAGAGAAACCCGTAGGCTTCTATGGGCTAAAACAGGGCGTCTTGATGAGGTCTGAGAAAAATCCTGTGAAGAAAATTGACTGGGAATCTTTCAACAGTGTTGACAGACATATTCAAGCTGACATTAATTGCAAGGTGTTTATGAAATAGATTTTTATGTTGGATAATAATTGAAGATAGAACGACGTTGGGCGCTTTAGTATTTGTATTTAATGGTTATTTTACTTAGACATATGTGTCTATTTAAATGTTATGAGGGGTCGGCGTGGTTGTGTCTGTAAAGCTCATGGTTGCTAATCCGAAAAGTCTCGAGTTCGAAACCTGGGAACAGCCACTCTTGAGAAACAACTTCAAAATCAAACAATTGCTGACTTGTAACTTGTTCTTGGTGGTTTGTTCTATGGAAGCAAATTCAAAAAGAAAAGCAGGCTGAAAGCGGAGTCAATGGCCTCAATGGCGCATAACCAGTTGACACGTATACTTAAATGTGTTAGAGGGTAACCCTTCCAACACTAAAATTAAGACCGCAGAAGAAGACGAAATGTTATGAAATTAATTAGGTGGTATGATGGTGATTTATCACACTTATATGTTGTGTTATATGAGGTGGAATGATGGAAAAGAGTAACTCAGTAATTTCCTAAATATTGTCATTGCAGAATATTATTAAGAGTCAGTGGCGTAGCGAGGTCGGGTGTCACCCATCAGAGGCGTAGCGACCCTTCCCGGGGACAAACTTTCAAATTTTCGATTTGCACCCTCCCCCCCCCCCTCAAGTTTTCGATTTGCACCCCCCCCCTCAAGTTTTTCACTATATATTTTGCTATTTTTTGCCTTGGTGTCACCCCCTAAATGGTGTCACCCGGTGCGGTCCGCACCCCCCGCCCCCCTCCTCGCTACGCCTCTGTTAAGAATAGATTAAAATACAATATTTTTGTGTCTGTGTCTTTGATTGTGTGTTTTTATATGTAGCCTATAACATAGTGCATTATGTTTAGCATAAATCATATCAGTGTGGTCAGTTCTATGCTCCAGTCGCCTTTACCTCCCCTTACCAAAGTCAGAAACGCATAAGATCAAGGTAGACTTAGAGACGCACTACTGACTCAACCTCTTGGGATCCGAACTCGAGCCTTTCAAGCAAGCAGTCGTGGGTTCTACCGCCTGACCACACCGTTATATATAGGTGTTATTATTTTTACCACTATTCCGCAGAATGCAGTCGACGAGGATCCGTTTGATACCACGATAGTGGGACCTTGGATGCTAAAATGGGACATGACCCATACTAATCGTCACACAGAAAGACTAGCGCCAAGGGCTGGTGATACCTCTTGCAATAAGGCATAAATTTGTCTGGAACAAAGGTCTATAACAACTGCAAACTTTACTTGCTTTTTTTCTCCTTGTAAGTTATTTTTATGCCGAACTTAGACAAAACGATGAGTTCTACTTTTTCTGCCATGTAATTTGTTTTACTTTCTTCTTGAAAGAACTTGTAAGTAGGTCACCAACTTCTTATCATACTAGCCAGCTAGATCTAGTATTTTTCAAACTAATTATGAATATGTTTATTAAATCGGTAAAAAAAGAAATAAAAGTTACTTACGCTATTGTTAAGTTATTTAAAATAGTAAAAACTAATAATGATAGTTTGAGAATTCACCTGATCCTGGCTAACGAGATTTCAAATTTTAAGTAAGAGAAGCAAAGAGATTTACAAGCCCTAAGTAATATTGGAGGGGATTTCTTCCAACACGATGAAGTATTGCGTGACAGCCTTTCTAGATTTACTTCCATTGTCATTATCCACCCAAGAACAATCTGAAAGGCAGCAGTTGTTTGATTTTGGAGTTTTATTCAGATGACTTATAGTCCTCAGCTAACCAGCCTCGTATGCCCGGGATTTTCTTTTTTACAAGCTTTTATTTAGTTAGCAACGTCTGTTTGTTTGTTTGTGGGTTTGTGGCAAATCATGTAATTCAATTTCGACCCACTTCTAATGCAGCGATTTCGTTCAAACTTTCCATGTACGTTTCACTTCGAAGACAATACAAGTGTATCTATTTTTTTTTTTTTTGGATGCTGGATATTTAATATTATAGAATAGTTATTAAAAGTGCTTATGTCTAATAATCCTTGCAGTGTTTTGTCTTTCATAAACAACATATATTTGCTACTGGTTATTTTAAAGATATTAGTATCATGTGCTGTTTGTTTGTATAATCTTAGGAACGGCGAGGTCGAAAAGTAGAGCGTATGACTGCAAACCCGAAAGTCTCGAGTTCAAGAACATCCCTGAGTCCACCCAGCTCAGATGAGTACCTAACTAGCGTTGGGGAAAATAAAGACGGCTGGGCATAGTGCTGACCACACGGTCCCTTCACATGCCGAGCCCACAGAAACAGGTGAACTCTACTTCTCTTGCCCCGTGGAACTTCAGGTTCAATAAGGAACCTTACGTACAAGGAGGTGTACGCTGATGTTTATACAAGTAAGGAACCTTACTACTTGCATAATCATAAGCTTGTACCTCCTGTGAAACCGTTTATCCCTGTTTGTAAAATTGTGAGACAGGCACTATAACACAATTCAGGTAAATCTAGACCATTAGGGCCATACTTACTTAGGGGCAGTGGCGTCGCTAGTTCGGGTGTCACCCGGTGCGGCATCTCATGGTGTCACCCCCCCACCCCTTATTTTTCTCTGTAAATTTTGCAGTTGGTGTCTTACACCCCACCCCATCTGTCTCTAATGACAACCTCGGTTTAAACAACAACACTGAAACCAATTGAGGAGCCAAGTGCTATAAGCACTTCAGTCACATTTTGGTGGAAATAAAAACAAAGAAGCGCTTGTTATTCCTCTAGTACGACTTTATCTTATGCAATGTTTCTTTCAGGTATCTATTCGAGGGGTTGGGGTGGGGGGGTGGGGGCTGCCTCTCCCTCCTTCGAAGCACGTTTACTCCCCCTTTTTCCAGTTTGACCCCCCCCCCCCTCCACCGGACCGCACCGAGTGACACCATTTAGGGGGGTGACACCAAGGCAAAAAATTGAAAAATATATAGAGAAAAATTTGATTTGAGGGGGAGGGTGCAAATCGAAAGTTTGAGGGGGGGTGCAAATCGAAAATTGAAAGTTTGTCCCCGGGAAGGGTCGCTACGCCTCTGGGGGGTAACACCATTAAGTGCCGCATCGGGTGACACCCGACCTCGCTACGCCACTGGTAAACTTTATTGTGTTAACATTGAGAACGAAGAAGATAAAGAAAGATGTAAAAATATATTACTAGTGGAGTGTTGAAGTTTAAGTTCCTCGTTCAAACAATCACATAAAATTAAAACGTTGTGTTTTATAATCAATAGCGAATGTCTGCATTATTTAAATAAAAATTTATTTACATTTAGATCTGTTTAGGCGAAATAAAATTCGTTAAAAAAAACGGTTCTCAATATCGTCTGCTAAATTTTTATGAATTCGTCTGCTGTTATTTTCCGTCTTCTGCTAGCTATCGACTCCAATGACGCCATGCCATCAGGGCCCCCGTTGTGCCGTGACACGCGTCATTGTGACAGATAACACAGGACACGATTGCCCCCCCTCCCCTCCTGCTCTAGGGGAGCCAGCGTCACTTATGCGGAAGAACTGTGACACCATGAGTGTGATGGAGTGACGTCATTTACTAGACTGAACTGAACGTACGAAACTAAAAAAAAAAACGATTTCTTATTCAGTCGTTTGGTTTGTCGTCTATTTATACTTCATGTAGGAAAAGTAATTGCATTTTCAAAAACGTGTTTAGTAAATGTTATATCCTAGCGGGCTAAAAATTTTACTAAGGTACTACTGGCTATTATTATGGGATGGAGTAGCCTTGCGGTAAAGCGCTAGACTGCTAACCCGTTAGACTCGAGCTCGAATCAGGGTTTAAGTAAGCAGACCTTTCCAAAGTCCACCCATCTCTGGTGGGTACCTGACTCAATTTAAGGTAAGTAAAAGCGGCTGGACATAGTGCTGACCACACTATCCCTTCATATGCTGAGATAACAGAAACAGGTGAATTCTACTTCATCCGCCCCATATACCGTCAGGTTGGGAAAGTGAACTTTAACTTTAAAGGCTATTACTTCGTTTTAAAGTGGATCTTCTTCTTCTTTGCCATTTTCAACTCACAATGGAGTATGGGTCATTTACAACACACTTCGAGCTATTCTATCATTTGACATTTCTTTCCAATTCTTCCCGATAATTTTCTTGTTTTTAGATTCCCCTATGTTTTTCAGTCTTTTTTTTTTCTCGATCCTTGTGGATTCCATGACATGCCTTATATGGTAATACTTGTTTCCTAAACATATGGACTATCCATCTCCACCTTCATTCCGAATATTTTGCTCTACTGGATTTGTTTTGGACAGGCTGACGCTAAAATAATGATATAGATAGGTGTAATATTATGCTGTTACTTGGGTGGAATTTTTTTTCTTTTAAAATTTGATTAAACTTTTTAACAGCAATACCACTTTAGTAAGAAAATAGTGAAACTATAGATTAATTAAAAAGTGAAAAGGGATTTTTTTTTTCTTCAAGGTAGTGGAATACACGAACACAATAATTAACAAAAATAAATTATATTTAAATAAAAACTTTCACCAGCAAAAGTTTTTATCATTTTCTCTTTATAGTCGTGCCATATAATTATGAAGGGACAGCCGCCTTTACTTTCCCTAAAGTGAGTCAGGTACCCATCAGAGCTTCGTAAACTCAGGGACATTCTACTGACTTAAGCCCGGGATCCAAACTCGAACCTTTCGGATTAGTAGTCGTGCACTCTACAACTCAACCACGCTGTCCCATCAATAAAACACGTAAGAACAAAAAAAAAACATAAATTATCTAACAAAGCACTAATATCATAGCCAAACTGATATGTTAATGTCGGATACTGACTGTAAATTAATAGGAATCTTCTAGAAAAAGATATCATTGTTGACTGTTTCTCCAGACAGTCAGACGTCAATTAAATACAGTACTAACAGTGGCGTAGCGAGGTCGGGTGTCACCCGGTGCGGCACTTAATGTTGTCACCCCCAGAGGCGTAGCGACCCTTCCCGGGGACAAACTTTCAAATTTTCGATTTGCACAACCCCCCCCCCCCCCCAAACTTTTGATTGGCATCCCCCCCCCACCCCCCCTCAAACTTTCGATTTGCACCCCCCTCAAGTTTTTCTCTATATATTTTGCTATTTTTCGCCTTGGTGTCACCCCCCTAAATGGTGTCACCCGGTGCGGTCCGCACACCCCGCCCCCCCCCCCCCTCGCTACGCCCCTGCTTAGGGGTCACCCATAAATGCCGTCACGCTTTTTTGGTCGATTTTTACCCCCCCCCCCCTCCGTCACACATCGTCACAAAAAGACAGACCCCCCCCCCCTAAAATAACGTCACACTTCAGTCTACAACCCCCTTCAAAATGGCTGTTGAATTTTTCTTAAAACATCGATATTTCCCCAAAATCTTGTCAAAACTGTGTCAACAATTGAGTATTTTGATCAATTGCTATTGCAATTTATTAAAACCGTTTAGTTAAACGCGAAATGACGACTAAAACTCGTTTTCTAACATTGCTTTTTTATAATGCAAAAGTGTGACGTCACACCATCTGACCCCCCCTCCCCCTATCCTCCTCATCACACACCGTCACAAAATTACGGACCCCCCCCCCCCCCCCTACGAGTGCGACATCCTTTATGGACGACCCCTTAACAGGTCGCTTATTTAAAAAATCTGTTCCACAAGAAACTCTATAGACTGTGCAAGGAACTGATGTATTTCTATACAGGGCTGGAGGGTCACAAAATTAAACAGCAACATGCATCAATTCTTAACTAACAAATGCCCATGGCTCATGCTCAAAATGAAATGACCAGAAAATAATCTCACAGAAAACAATATGAGAAATTGTAAGACCGCAGCCAAGAAAAGGGACATTACAACCGGCAAGTGAGGTAGATCGGACACATTCTGGGGAGAATTGATGAAAACATCGCAAAAGAAGAGTTGGACTGGACTGGTACGAGAAAAAAATTAAAAAGGAGACGCAGAAAATTCTGCTTAATATTAAGCAAAGGTTACGAGGCTTACATTGGGCCCATATTATCGCCCATTGTTAAAAATAGATCTCTCTCGTTGGATAATGCGCCAAAATAACAAATGTCTTGTTGAAATGACTATGAAACATTGTTGAAAAAAAACAAAAACCCGGTATCGACTGTGTCGGCGGCCATCATTACCATGACGACGATGTTTTTTTTAAAAGTAGGTCAAGCGACAGCCAAATCTAAAAATAAGGTGTTGTTTTTATAAAAATTCAAATGTCTAGACATCAGAAATAGGTCAAGGTTGCTTGTATGCCTAAAATTAGAGCTGGCGAAAAGTGGCGGGGCTTAACTTTTTGCCCGTGCACTTTTTGCATAAGTTGCGGGGCTTATCTGGACAAAATCCAAATCTTTAAGTCTTTACTCTTTAGTAAAGTCCTACAAAAACCAAACCGTCATATTTGCAAGACCTTATTTATTTTGATAGATGTTAGATCTACATGATTTTTTTTTTAAATATTTAATGGACCTTTCAAATAATTTCTAGAATATTTTCGGTTAGGTCCATTAGATAAAAAAAAAAACAAGTTGTTCTTGCATCGTGACCTATTACCATTACAATTACAAATGTATCTGGGAAGTTGGACCGAAATCGGTGCATTAGAATAAATGCTTATAAAAATGGGAAAACGGTGAAGGTTTAGGCTAGGTATGACTAGTGGGAGGATAAAAATACTTCCAGTAAGTCACATGATCAAGCTACATCACGTGATTTTATTTTGTATGTACATTCCAACTCGAAAGTGGTGGAAATCTCTTAAGTAGATCTTGATCTAGATCTAGTAGTTCAGTTATTTTACTTAGTTTAGCTTTTGTTTTTCCGTTCGTTCATTTTATTAATTATTTTTGCAATTATTAAAAAACCAAACATTTAACACAGAATACAATAAGAGCTTATAATTTATAACATAGATCTAGTAGGGGATCTAACAATCTACAATTCTACTCGTTTAAATTTTTCACTTCGTCTTTCGTCTCTTTCGACCTCGTTACCTGCAGTCTGCAGAATTAATTAGCTACGTGATGACTGTCACTCTGTCGGCCAAACAGCCTACCTTACACCCTCTAGTGACTAGTCTACATTCTACAAGTACACATGCCCTAACTGTTCTGATTATTTGTTTTTATTGTAGAAGATGTGCAGGCAGGGTCATCATGGTATCCCACCAAAATACTGATTACTGCCCAACTAACTGTAACTAGACCTAAGAATTTTTAAGACGCATAGACCTAACTACTAACTATTTTAACTACTAGAATCTATATCTAGTGTTAGACTAGTACTAGAATATGGATCAATAGATTTGCATTAGTCACTTTGACTTTCTACACAAAAACAAAAATACACTGCACACAATGCAACAGCTCCTTCTGCAGTTCCTCAACATCCAGCCACTGGCCTTTATAATAGTATAAATACTCTATATTCCCTCCTAGCCACATCATTTTGTCGTCCCCCCCCCCCCCCTCCACACACACACAATCACTTCTGAAGACCTAACTACTAACTATTTTAACTACTAGAATCTATATCTAGTGTTAGACTAGTACTAGAATATGGATCAATAGATTTGCATTAGTCACTTTGACTTTCTACACAAAAACAAAAATACACTGCACACAATGCAACAGCTCCTTCTGCAGTTCCTCAACATCCAGCCACTGGCCTTTATAATAGTATAAATACTCTATATTCCCTCCTAGCCACATCATTTTGTCGTCCCCCCCCCCCCCCCCTCCACACACACACAATCACTTCTGAAGAATTTTGCAATAAGTATTTTAAAATTGTAACAACAGCTGACGATTAGATCCACTGAAAATAATGGGTTCACCTTCCAAAAAGATGAAGATGGACTACTCAGGGTTTACAGATCAAGCCTTCCCTCATGTTTTTGATATTAACGCTATGCCTAAGCAGCCCAAAGTACTCAAAGATGGACAGCTATCTGCTGAGCAGGTCAAACACTATTTTGAAAAGGTACATATCTATTTCTGATAACAGATGAAAAGTATCATCGAGTAAAAAGTAAAATTAAGTTAAGTCCTTTTTATTATCTGTCAGATATACCAACCTAGTCTGCCTGTTTAAACTTGTTTGCTGATCTAGCATACTATTTCAAAAACATTGATAATTAGCTAAATGGTTTTATAGTTATGATGCTTATTTATAAATGTAATTAAAATTGCGGTTTAAATGTTTCATTTCTTGTTACATACTTTCCTAAATACATGATTTACTTTGTTTTCAAACATTATATCTAGGGTAGTATTATATACCAATCATTTATTCATGTCTTTTAGTAAATAGCTACACCATTTACTTGGTGGTATCATCATCATCTTTTCCTACTTGTGACCAAGATACATCAGGCCACAGAGAGGCTCTTTGTATTTTTGCAAGTCTAGGCAAATTTCTTGGCAGTCCTCCAAGATATTCCTGTTCTTGTCAGGGTTTTTTTCTGCTGTACATCTCCATATCTCCCTTGGCCTTCACTGTTTTCTTTTTTCTTGAGGTGTCTAGCTGAGCACAATTCCTGTGATAACATGCAAACATTCTTAAAATGTGGCCCATCCAGCTCCATCTTCTTTTTCAATTAACTCTGAAACAGCTTCCATTTCCATTTCTCCTAGTAGTTTATCATTGGAGATTGTGTTGGGCCAATGAATGCCTTCTATCCTTTGTAGGCACTTAGTTTGGAAAGAATCCTCAGTATATGAAATGAAAAAACATTGATAATCGACTAAAGTTTTTACACAACAATTGAAAATTAACTAAAATATCTATATGATTTTTAAATACGGTGTATATTTATTTTAAAATATGCAATGTCTTCTGTTTAACTACCTCTCCTTTATGTACTACAGACAAAACTTCCTCCCCCCCCCCTTTCTCCCATTCCCTCCCCCCTTTGGCTCTGTTTATGCAACTCACCAGAATTACAATATCTTGTATTTTCACATCCAAAAAAACCGATGCAATGGATATAGTTGCTAGGGTCGGGATATTACCTCCCCCCCCCCTGGTCATTACCAACCCCCCCCCCCCCCTCTAGACAATACATCTCATAAATTTTACCATCAAAATGAGAAACACAGCATTTTATAGAATGTCTGAAATGGACTACATATTACAAAATCAGTCATTTTATACTTGCCTGTTCTGTAGTTAACTGGCTAAGTGTAGAATAAGCTTTATCCCCGTGACCTATGGGTGGGGGGAAATGGAGTGAGGGGAGAGAGTAATTGACTTGCTCCCACTGTGATACTTTTTTAAAGGTCATGGTAAAAAATTTATAGAGATAAACCAGGACGTATAGTTGTACGACCTTGTAAGTTCATGATAAGAGACTGCACTAACTGTGATGTAGGTTAAAGTTTGTTATTTTTAGTTGGGTGAAGTTTTTCACTCTAGAGAACTTTCTCTAACCCGATTTCAAATTTCACATATTCTTTCATCACAATACAATTTTTTTTAAAAATAATACAATGCCGGTACCTGGTCTAGTACCCGATGCACGGCCAGAATTATTTGATATCCGGGCTATGCCTGAACAACCAAAAATTCTTAAGCCTGGTCAGTTAGAGGAAAGTTTAATCCGTGAATTTTTTGAAAAGGTAAGACTAGCTTTGTTATTGCCCCCCCCCCCTCCCCAAATGAAATGGAATTTATATAGAAAATATATACTTTTACTAGTGTCCACTCCCAAAAATATCACGTCTTAGTCGTTCCCCCCCCCCCCCTCAAGATAAAAAAAAGTCTGAAAGCAACACTGGGCATGAGCCCAAAGTTGCAATCCAAAACATAATTTTAAATATATTAAGGTACATCTTCTAACTCATGTTAAATATCTATTTTTTTTAAAACAGCTTTATCATTTTACAATAACAGTAAAAAAAAAAAATATTTAAAAACAGTCCTGTACATTTTTTTAAATTTTTATTTGTCATTTGAAATCCAATGAAATTTTTTTTATTATAGGCTATGTAACAATGAAAAACAAAATTTGTATTAAAGGCTATGTAACAACTGTTAAAAGTTATTATAAAACTTCTTAAGCCAAATCCTTTTCTAACTCATGCAATAGATCTAGACATAACTAGTTTACCAGCCTTCTAAAGTCACTAGGGCAAATTTGACTCTGGTAAAAAATAATAATAATACACACTGAACAGTGTTTTTTCCAGGCATCTCTTCAGGGAAATTTTAGTCAGCCTTCTAACTCATGTTAAATATCTATTTTTTTTAAAACAGCTTTATCATTTTACAATAACAGTAAAAAAAAAAAATATTTAAAAACAGTCCTGTACATTTTTTTTAATTTTTATTTGTCATTTGAAATCCAATGAAATTTTTTTTATTATAGGCTATGTAACAATGAAAAACAAAATTTGTATTAAAGGCTATGTAACAACTGTTAAAAGTTATTATAAAACTTCTTAAGCCAAATCCTTTTCTAACTCATGCAATAGATCTAGACATAACTAGTTTACCAGCCTTCTAAAGTTACTAGGGCAAATTTGACTCTGGTAAAAAATAATAATAATACACACTGAACAGTGTTTTTTCCAGGCATCTCTTCAGGGAAATTTTAGTCAGCCTCCAAAAAATTTAAGTGAAGTCTGAAGGAAACACTGAAAATACATGACATATCTCTCAAATGTTTTATTGAGCAATGTTATTATTATCTATTTAAAATTTCATTTTGCAATCAACCTCTGAAATGAAGGGAAATTTTTTTGTACACACAGGGATATTTGCTGGTGCCTAAATTCTTCACTGAGGAAGAACTTGAACCTTGTAGAAAATCTATAGAAAAACTTGTGGATGATCTGGCACAAGCACTCTATGATGGTGGAAAAATCAAAAGTAAGTTGTTTTCTTGTTTCTTTTTTTCAATTGAAGCAGAAGATTTCTTTCTAAATACATTAAATATTTTTTTAAATTAAAATTGTTACCAAATATTTTGAAACATTGAAAATTTGTTTAATTAGTATTAACCATCCCTCATCAGTTTTTAATTAATTCACACAACAAAAATAATAAAGAAAATTAATTAAAATTTTAATTCCTCAATACTCAGTTTTTATGTTATAATGTTTACAAAGAAGGGCAATAATACATTTTGTTTCTTTTTACCTAAATCTTTTCAGATTTGTACAAGGAACAAGGTTTGTTCCAGAGACTTATTTACTTAGAAAAGGAATTTCCAGGAGCCAATATTATTCTTCATAAACAGGGCACATTAACTGAGGTAAATAATCATTCATATACCTTAACTACATGTTACATCATATATTCTGATTATATATATATATATATATATATATATATATATATATATATATATATATATACACTTATTATAAAAAATAATTATGTGTATCTTTTTTCAAAGGCCTTCCAAAATGTGTGGTCAAATGAAAGATTGTTGAATGTGGTGGAGCAGCTCGTTGGACCAGAGATTATGGGTCACCCTGTCTGGAATCTCAGAACAAAGACTCCCCAGAATGAGGCTACAACTGTCCCATGGCATCAAGGTACCCCAACTTAATATATTGAATTTAAAGTTTTTAGCCTCTGTTTTGATATTCTTTGTTGACTTTTTAATATGGTAATTTATGAAGAGTTATCTGTTCTTTACAGCCTAATCCATCAATCTACAAAAAATTAATCTTTATATTTTTAATTAAAAAATTATTAACTTTTAGTATTGGAACAGTCATTGGTCTTTTGCGTAATCAGTTCTGTAAAGTCTAATAAAAATTATTACTTATGAATTAATATACTCCAAATAACATATGGTAATTGTATCGAGCAGGCAAATATAACGCCACTAAAACTGACAAGACAGTTTGGATAATAAAGTGCTTAAAATTCTTTTATTTTGTTTACAAGACAGCGCCTATTTGGACAATGAATCGTACGGTGTGCTACAAGCTACAGCTTGGATTCCTTTATTGGACGCTACTGAGAAAAATGGATGCATGGAGGTTGCTATTTTTTAATTTTGTTGTTTTATTAAAATATTTTTTTTTATTATTATTTGAAAATGAGATGCAGTCTATTTAAACCTGTACTACCTGGGCTATCAATTTTTTTATTGCTGTATGGCCAAGCAAAGAACATAACTGTGGGTTGGTTTTATTGTTGCTTAGTGTAATTTGTTAATTATAAAAAAAAATTCTAGCGCATTTAAAAAGGGGCCTACTTTAAAATGCAATTCTCAGAGAAAAATGGATGCAGATTATTGTGCATTACTTTTAATTACGCGTCATTAATATTTTAATTTAAAAAGCAGTATCAAACTTAATAGTGAAAAAAATTGAGTAAATAGATAAAGCGTTTTGCACTCATAAGATAGTATCACTTAGTAAAAATCTGAGATAAGACAGTAAAGGGTTTAATCTGTCCATTTCCTGTTAATGACAGAGACATTGATATTTGTAGATATTTAGCAAGTGTTTTCTTTACTGGTTGTAAAATTGCAGGTAATATCAGGTGGTCACCTGGCCGGCAAAGTGGCAAGACACACCTGTTGCTGGGGAGACACCTGGTATGTAGAAACAGATGTAGAGCATGCTGAGAAAACTCTGAGTAAGTTATTGTGTTTTCTTTTTAGTTATTTATCATTCATTATTGCGTCGTGGTATTTAAGGTAAAATTCGAAACAAAGTTTTTCAGAATAAACAGTCTGGTAGTACTTGCAAATTTTTAACTACACCTTAATATATCATCTAGTTGACTCACTTTTGCTCAATTTCTACGTGATAGATGAAGTAAGCTATTATTGGCCTGTTGCCTAACATTTTTTAAAATCTAGGCCTTTTGATCTTCAAAAATATAACACGTTCAGATCTATTATTAGCAGATTCCTCATTGAGTTTTAATTAAATACACTATAATAACATTTAATTTTAACTGCAATTTTACAATATATAATTAGTAATTTTTAATCAATTTGGTTCAGTTTATATTATCAGATATTACTTCATAAATAAAAGTACAAAAGCGTTATTTTATTCATTATTTTAATATAAAAGCGTCCTTTTCCGACATAATGATCCGTAGGGCAGATGAACTAGAGTTTATGTTTCTTGGCCTTGGCATCGGCATTAGGCCAGCCGCCTTTACTTTCCTTACTGTGAGACAGGTACCTATCACAATTTTTTGGGCCCAAGGACGTCCTGCAGAATCAAGTACAGATCAAGATCCGAACTTGAGACTTTCAGGTTAGCAGTCGAATGCTCTGCCATGCAACCATGCCGACTCACAAAATTTTTAACATATCCAAGTACAACTGTTAGCTCATGTGATATACTTAACAAAATCTTATGAAGATCCTAAGGAGATACACCTTGAACAGACTATTTCAATGTTTACTCAGTTGCCTGGAAACTATTTAAGTTGAATTTTAGAATAGTAGCTCTACCTACTTGTTTAGTTACTTTATTTTTTTTTAATAATCATGTTAATTATAATGGATGTGGTGCATTCTATATAAAATCATTGTTTCTCTGTTTTGACTAGATGTAGATTTTGTGAAGGACAAAGTGCTGTGCCCAGTCCCCTATGGTGGAATGTTGCTTATCAATAATATGATACCCCATAGAAGGTAAGTATTTTGTTTTCTTATAAATAAATAAATAAATGGTTCCATAGTCTGATGGATAGCGGGATGATTGCGCCTTCCCAATCAAGGTGTAAGGCCTAGGCGATAAGTTCAGAAGGGCTACAGGACATTACCCCCCCTAGGTATTTACCCTTTGGAGCAATTACCTCCCCCCCTGGAGCAATTACCCCTCCCCCGGGGAATTACCCCCCCCCCCCCCCCCCCCCCCCAGCCTAAAACTTAATACGAAACCAAAACCAACTCTAGGCATTGGTTTAAGCATAACCTTAGCAATAGCTATTGGCCTAACCATAGTCCTAACCCTAGCCAGAGCCCTAACCCTAGCCCTACACCTAGCCTTAACCCTAATCATGTCAGGGGGGGAGGTAATGTCCTATGGGCGGGGGGGGGGGGGGGGGGTAATTGACACGGGGTAATTACTCTGGGGGGTAATTGATGTGGGGGGTAATGCTCTGTTCTCATTCCTGAAGGCCTGATGTTGGCCATGTATCAGGCCCCCACCCTCCATACAGCTTCACAATCAAGGTACAAGGCCTGGGCCATAAGTTTAGAAGGGCCTGATGTTGGCCATGTATCAGGCCATAAGTTCAGAAGGGCCTGATGTTGGCCATGTATCAGGCCCCACTCCCTCCATACAGCTGATAGGCCCAAGGGAGAGGCGTTGCCTATACAATTTGGCATCAGCTGTGTTACTGGAGCTGCTGAAAGGAAACCTGAGTTAATAATCCTATAGCCCAAGGCCCATGTTTCTTAAATATTCTCATATTATGTAAAATGAATGAGATTTAGTTTTTTAAATGTAAGATATTTTTTACAAATGCATACATTCTTGAAATTGCACAAGTCTTCTTCTTCTTCTTCGTTCTTAATTTTAGTGTTGGAAGGGATCCTCTCCGACACAATTAAGTATACGTGTCAACTGGTTATGCGCCATATAGGCCGTGGACTCTGATTATAGCCTGTTTTCTTTTTGGCCCTTAGTCCAACCAAGAACAAACTAAAAGACAGCACTTGTTTGATTTTGGAGTTGTCTCTCCTAGAAGAGTGGCTGTCCCCAGCTAACGAGCCTCATCTGCCTGAGGGTTTGAACTCGAGACTTTTCGGTTTAGCAACCATGAGCTTTACTGACTCGACCACGTCGACCCCCCCCTCCCCCTATTGCAGAAGTGTTATTACAGGATCATCAAAGATATCTTTATTCTTCTTATTTTTTATTATCATTACAATCATTAAGATAACTGTTTTGTAAAAAAACACAAGTCTTTACTTTCCTTTTAATTTTGTACATATTTGCTGTTTTCCTCCTTTTTGTGATGACCACATTCAGCTGTCTTCAACTTTTGGAAATCAGTCATTAAATAGAGATGCAAATTATAACTGACAAGATAATTTTTGAATTCTTAATTAAATATCAATTTTTTTTGTACCATATTTATTTTTACTGTTCAAATTTTAAATCTAATTCAATTGTTTGATTCGTGATAAAAATATAAATATATATATAATATATAAATATATATATAAATATATATATTATAAACTATAAAAAAAACTAATGTTAATTATATCTGCTTCTTGCTGCTCTGTAAAATGTTACATGTCACGTAAAAATTATTTTATTTTGTCAGCCTCAACAATTGTTCCGATGAAATTCGCTGGAGCCTGGACCTCCGCTGGCAAAATCCAGAAAAACCTGTAGGCTTCTATGGATTAAAGCAGGGCGTCTTGATGAGGTCGGAAAAAAATCCTGTGGAGAAAATTGACTGGGATTCTTTCAACAGTGTTGACAGACATATTCAAGCTGACATTAACTGCAAGGTATTTATGCAATAGTTTTTTTTTAAATTGGTGAAAAAAAAAATTTAAATTGCTTTTAGCAAGAGAGTCTCTAATTATTTGCTGGTAATTTTACAAAGTGATAAGCCGGTGTCTCCACAATGAACCCAGCAAGTATGTTTCAGTTTTAGGAAATTAGGAGTGCATTGCTATGAGACGGTAGGGCTAAATTGTAGAGCTCACTAGTGTTAACCCAAATGTCTCAAGTTCACACCTTAAGCTCCAGTCTGCAGGATGATGCTGAGTCTACCTAGCTCTGATGAGTACCCAAATCTCTCACTGAAACTAAAACTGCTGGAAACTACTGACCACATCCCCCCCTGTATATGACTAAAGCTGCTGAACACTGTACTGACCACATTCCCCTGTATATGCCGAGTCATTGAAACAGATGAAGTAGAATTCACCTGGGCATGAACGGAAAAGATAACAATGATGAAAAGCAATTTGGTAGTGTAATGGCCCACAGATACCTACAGATACTTCTGGGCTTGCTACCAATTTTTGAGCCATTGTGAAGACTCTGACTCCATCCAGCTGTGATTAATCCATGATTTGGTTCTGGTAGTAATAAACGGATGGTGTTAGAACCCTCACAAATTCAAGACAATCAAAGTTACAATGGACTTTTCGACCCAAGGTCTTTGTCAGAACATAACAGTTCAGAGAAAAGTGTGAATCATAGTGTGAATCACACAACCCATTTTTAAACTGGGCATCATAAAAATATTTGAAAGCTATTTCATCTGCTGTATTGACTTTCAAATTTAAAAAAATAAATATCTAATTGCTTTCAAATGTTAACAAAAATATAAATGTTGCTAATCTTTGTTTTATTTTTTATAAATATTAACACATCGAAACTGTACAAAGGTAAATAGCTCCCATTTACTTAAGTAGTAAAATATGATGGTAACAGCATTCTATCTAGCTTTTATACAACTTTACCTTTTTCTGTCTTCATTTCTTATTCTTCATCTTAATTTTAGTGTTGGAAGGAATTCCCTCCAACACAAGTATATGTGTCAACTGGTTAGGTACGATTGAGGCAGCCTGCTTTTTTGGATTTGCTTCCATTGCCTTTGTCCAACCAAGAACAAACTACAAGGCAGTAGCTGTTTGATTATGGAGTTGCTGTCCGGCGCTGTCGAGCCTCATCTGCTCGAGGGTTCGAACTCGAGACTTTTCGGTTTAGCAACCTTGAGCTTTACCAACTCAAACACGCCGACCCCTCTTCGTTTCTGAATGGGATCTTAATTTACTTTTAAATCTTCACTTTTTTTAACTTGCACTGTGCATCCAACAATTTATAGAAGAAGGAAACCTTACTGGAGTCTGTATTTTATTTTAAAATGTATTTTGTTAACAAACATTTTATTAATTTTATTAATAAACATTGAAGTTGTTTCATTGTTTTAAACCTAATTTTGTAGGTTATTGTTGAGGAGGATCCTTTTGATACCACCATAGTTGGTCCCTGGATGCAGAAGTGGGAAATGACTCACACAAATCGTCACACGGAGAAACTGGCATCAAGGGGCGATACTTCCTGGCACAAGGCTTAAATTTTTTTTCAAGAAAAATTTCTTTTTTTTTTACATTCTGTACGTGTGTACACACTAACATGTTCATTATATAAAGTGCCACTGAACTTTGTTGTTTGAAACTTAAACTTACTGTTGTTAATGAATAAATCGTTTTTTAACAATTAGTATGATGGGGCTTTGATAACCAAAATATATTGTTTTTGTACATTTGGATTGCTGCTTCCTGTTCTACTTGAAAATTTTCAAAGTATAAGTTTTATCAAAACTATAATCTGAAAAAAATAATTTGAGATTATATGCTGAGAAAGTTTAATTAAGAAAACGGTTTTTGTTTAAAATTGTATAAAATATACCCAAGTTGTTCTAATTTGCCTTCATTTGTGAGTTTTAAGACAATAATTTTTACTGTATTTATTTTCAATGTAAGCTTCATACATATTATTTTTAAACTACAAACATGCTATTAATATGTTTACCAAAAATATGCAATAACCAAATTATTTTAATTTTTCTATAGCTTGGCTATATATGGGTCTACATGTACTAGGGATTAATGTCTAGAAATATGCAATGACCAAATTATTTTGATTTTTCCATTGCTTTCCTGTAATTGGCTTTATCTTTACTAGCGATTTATGTCTATCAGAGTTACTTACTTCTGACACCCCTTTATTTTTAAAGTTGTGTGATGATTTAGTTTTGCGAGTTATTTTTTTAAAACTCTGTGAATACTTTTAACTGCCTTTTTAAAAATCTGTGTTAATATACAAACGTCTTCTTTAAATATGAAAATGTGCCATACAAATATTAACCCTCTTTTTGCTTTTTTATATACAGAATGTCATTTTTAACTAAATGGTGTTTTTTTTTTTTTTTGGAATTTTTATGATTAAATAAATATTGTGCTGTGGGTTGATTGGGTCTACATACCTGGATTTAACAAACATCAATAGCATTCTCCAGTGACACCCTTTATCATATTTGTAATACTGTGAAACAGGCACTATAAATATGTGCAGCAAAAATCTAGTCTGGTCTGTTAGAAGTGTAGTTACACAGCAGCAATATGAATTGTAGCATTTGCCACTTAGTGCTTTTACTTCATGTGGTGTGTAAGATATAACACAGTTTAACACAAGTTATTTTTCTTTTTTAAATAATTGACTTTTGTAAAGATATAACACTGGTTTTTTTTTCTAAAATAATTCACATTTTTTGTACACTACTTAATCACATTCATGGAGGAAGAAGATTCCTGATTACAGTATTTTAAACTGATCAGTATAATGCCCAGGCACATTAGTACAGATGGAAATTTTGGTTTTTATGTGGCCAGAACTGTTTTAAGTTGTACTAGAGAACTGAAGATTTCATCCATCCATACTAATCAGTCAAATATAATGTACAATCTATGGTTGAAGGGAAATATTTATTCAAGAAATTAATTAATGCACACAGTTTTTTTTTAAATAAAGCAAGATATTTAAAACTGAAATTTAAAAAATGCATGGTGAATATGTACATGAATATACCAAATTTTGTTTGATGATTTAAAATACTATGTATTTAGAAATCTTGTATTAAGTGTAACATTATCTTTCACAACTTCTTTCCAAATTCACACTATATTTTTTTAACTTTAATTTCTTTTGAGGCCAATGTAAATGATTTTTGGAAATAAACTTGTAGACATGATAACACTTGTCCTTTGTTTATAAATGAAATCAAAACATCAATTTATCTTTTTCGTCTATCAAATTCGGCCAACAGTAATAAAAATGCGGTTTCTTGATGGTAGTTACCAGAGCATTATAGTATTGTCTCAATGTATTTTTTTAGTCTGCGTGTATCACAGTGCGAGATTAGCAGCCACACCAGCAGAGCCCTCAATAAAGCCCCTCAGGCAATCTTGGAGGTATTAATAACCTATTTACAGAACTATTCTCAGTACAAAAGCCTAATGATCTTAAAGAAGTGCGATAGTTTTTCCAGTCAAGTAAATATGGGTAAGGGAAGCAATTTGATAAACATTACAAATGAATATAGAAATAAGTGTCTCACAGACATTAAGATATATTTCATAAATAGCCTCCAGATATTAATATATTTTATAAATATCTTACAGATATTAAAATGTATTTCATAAATATCCTACAGATATTAAAACATTTCAGGAATATCTTACAGATATTAGAATATATTTCATAAATACCTCACATATATTAAAATATTTCATAAATATCTTACAGATATTGAAATACAATGTCATAAAATTCTTGTCCAGACAAATTTTTTAAATAAAAAGAAATTCACCAAAAGCACGAAGACCATCGTTAGTTCAGGCAGTAATTTAAAATGTGGCTAAAAATTCATAACAGTGAAGGAATGTAAATACCACTTCATGCAGCTATGATACACAAATGTATACACCCTTAAATGTTTATAGCTCAATGATAACAAATGATAAGAGGTCTCACAAGCACTAAATTAAAACTGAACACCCCCAAAAAAATCGTAAAACCATTGGATATGCAAAGAGATTTCAAATCTCTGAACATGGTCTTAAAATCTACATCTTTGAATGATAAAAACAACAGAGTCCTATAAATATCTCTCCATAAATTCATTGAACATTGAAGTGCTCACTCACAAATGTAATTTACCCATCGTACATTTACCGCACCAGTCACTCTTCTTCAAGTGTTACAAATGAGATGTATGAAAGTTCTACTATTCCAGCACAGATATACACTGAAGCTGCAAGGTATAAAAGTCTCTGTGTGTGTGTAATGGTCCTTTGTATTTCAAAACCAACAAAAGCATTTCTCAAGCTCTGTCACAAAAATGTAGAGCTGCTTTTAACACCTAAACTTAAATAAAATCCTGAAAATTAAAATGTAAAAATAAACAATAATAAAACATCTGTTTTCGATTAATTTTAAATTCAGGTGGTTATTTTTATCAAGTTTAATTTAAAATTTTAAGATTTTGTGTTCAATTCATTTTCCAGAATTACTGGATTTCACAAATTAAAATCAAATAAAGTAGATAGTCAACCTGCATTCAAAAGCAAGTATTCAACCCCAATTCAATTAAATAAGTACACAATTATGGATATAAAACTTTTAACACACAATCAATTCCAATTCAAAAAGAAGAGAAAAAAACTAATGCTGTCATAGTTCATTCATCAGTACGAGGTTGTCTTTTCCTCAAGTCTGGGGTATCTTTCGAGGCAGATGCAGGGGTTGTGGGCTTGATGACCTTGAGTAACTTCTTCTTCTCATCTGTGTCATCTATAATGTCGTCATCATCCTGTTTAGTAAAGAAATACACAAAGCTGTGGCCATGGCTTCATAGGTAGAGGGATATAGAGGGTATGGGAAACATCACATATACTTAGTGGGGTCATCCTTGGGTTTGTGGGCAATACATCACATAACTTACAGTATGGTCATCATTGGGTGTATGGGCAATACGTTCAGGAGGTAGAGGGATGTACTTGGGTATGGGAAACATCACATATACTTACAGTGGGGTCAACCTTGGGTGTATGGGCAATACGTTCAGGAGGTAGAGGGATGTACTTGGGTATGGGAAACATCACATATACTTACAGTGGGTCATCCTTGGGTGTATGGGCAATACGTTCAGGAGGTAGAGGGATGTACTTGGGTATGGGAAACATCACATATACTTATAGTGGGGTCAACCTTGGGCAATACGTTCAGGAGGTAGAGGGATGTACTTGGGTATGGGAAACATCACATATACTTACAGTGGGGTCATCCTTGGGCAATACGTTCAGGAGGTAGAGGGATGTACTTGGGTATGGGAAACATCACATATACTTACAGTGGGGTCATCCTTGGGTGTATGGGCAATACGTTCAGGAGGTAGAGGGATGTACTTGAGTATGGGAAACATCACATATACTTACAGTGGGGTCAACCTTGGGCAATACGTTCAGGAGGTAGAGGGATGTACTTGGGTATGGGAAACATCACATATACTTACAGTGGGGTCAATCTTGGGCAATACGTTCAGGAGGTAGAGGGATGTACTTGGGTATGGGAAACATCACATATACTTACAGTGGGGTCATCCTTGGGTGTATGGGCAATACGTTCAGGAGGTAGAGGGATGTACTTGGGTATGGGAAACATCACATATACTTACAGTGGGGTCAACCTTGGGCAATACGTTCAGGAGGTAGAGGGGTGTACTTGGGTATGGGAAACATCACATATACTTACAGTGGGGTCATCCTTGGGTGTATGGGCAATACGTTCAGGAGGTAGAGGGATGTACTTGGGTATGGGAAACATCACATATACTTACAGTGGGGTCAACCTTGGGCAATACGTTCAGGAGGTAGAGGGATGTATTTGGGTATGGGAAACATCACATATACTTACAGTGGGGTCATCCTTGGGTGTATGGGCAATACGTTCAGGAGGTAGAGGGATGTACTTGGAAGGGAAAAAGTTGTCACAACAGAGCACCAGCATCTGATCCAAAAACAACAAAAAAAAGAGTCAGTAAAAATACTTCTGGCTTTAAAAGATCATGGCGTTCAAAAAAGTAACGTAAGGTCAGATCCAGATGGCAGATGAAGTAGAATCTGTCTGCTTCTTGTAATAACATATGGATTTGCAAATATTTTGTTACATTGGGGTATTAAAGAAAATAAACTCAAATAATCTAAATAAGTTTGTGTTAGCTTATTATATTTAAGATCCATTGACTGTTCAGTAGAACCATCCATGCGAGGAAGGCATATGAATGACAGCATAATAAGAATGTAACAGTTTACTATGCATTACAACGGATACCTAAGATATCAAATTTTGCAATCTAATTGATACCACAAATATCCAAATGACACTCAAGTTATTATGTTTACAGACACACACACATACAAAATTGCAAAACTAAGGAAGGTTGTCAAAAATTGTCAAAATCTTGATTTAGATTTTTTCACAATTACAATACATCCTTTGTATTTAGTATTTAATAAAGTAGGGAGGTGTAAAATGACAAAAACTCAAAAAAATTTATTTAATTTTTGCACTGTTTCAATACTTTCTCTATACAAGAAAGTAAAACGTGGAAGCTTATAAATTTTATCCTTGATTTACTGACAAAAAAAACTGTTGAATTTCACCAACAGTGAGTAGAAAATAGGTCTTACCAGTCCCAGTACTAATCCAGTAGCAATGGTGAGAATCGCAAACAAGACGTAACATAACCACTCTGGGATCCCATATGTATCTGTCATAGTGCTGTAGACACCCTAAAATGAACAAACTTTGTATGACTTAAATGTGATGACGGAGATTCCAAAGTTTAATTTTTAGGAGGCTTTTCAATATACAATTTAGCTCTTATTAAAATAAGTTTTAATATAATATAGCTATGATCGTAAAAGGGCTGGTCATAAAATGTGTGAAAAACTTCACCAAGGTTTCTACTATGACATCTAAAGAATGAAGTCTATTTGTTTGTTATTATAAAGGTTTCTATATTTCATTTATTTTCTGATATTAAGTAATGGGAAATCTACACAACAGGAAAATAATTTCACAGAGAGGTCCTATTCCACAAGGATACAAAAGGAATAAAGATGAAGAAGAATTACTTACCCTTATAAACATAGCAGCAGTAAAGAAATTTCCGATAATTCCCATTCTGCAAAAATTAAAAAATAACAGTAAACAAATTGTATTTAAATCTAAAAATAGGTGACTGCTAATAATAAAAAATTAAACTAACAATTATAACACTATTTCAATGTCTTACAGATATAAAGTTTCTACCTAATTATATATTCCTAATTAAAAAAAATTTAAATGTAAACAAAAAAATTATTACAACACCATTTCAATGTCTCACAGACATTATAAAGTTTCTACCAAATTATATATTCCTATTCAGTGTGTCACCCGGTGCAGCACTTAACGGTGTCACCCCCCAGAGGCGTAGCGACCCTTCCCGGGGACAAACTTTCAATTTTCAATTTGCACCCCCCATCAAACTTTCGATTTGCCCCCCCCCCCCCCACCCAAACTTTTAATTTGCACCTATTAAAACACTATTTAACACTCGAATTAATCACTTAATTAAGTGGAAATATCATTTTTCTCTATATATTTTGCTATTTTTTGCCTTGGTGTCACCCCCTTAAATGGTGTCACCTGGTGCGATCCACACCCCCCTGACCCCGACCCCCTCTGTTCCTATTATAAAACAGCAAGAAAACAAAAATGACAAATATACCTAAATTATATAGATGTCATATATCAATACAAAAAGACAAACAAAAGTAAGTATAAAACTCAAGTAACTACTTATAGAAACAGAAAAACTTACTGAAAAGAGCTGGGGGATCTGTACCAGGCCACCGGCTCGATCTCATTCCACTTCTTTTCATCAATCAGAGCTATCAGATCAGTTGTTTTTCTGGCCCCAGCATACTGGCGGAATTTCCCATCTTTAATACTGAAAAATTGTTTAAAATGTGCACAGAGTTTTGTTTAATTGGTTCAGGCAATCTAATGGGAAAACTAAGAAATAAATATGGAAAAGGGAGATAACAAAAAACTTACTGATAAAGTGTGGGAAGGGAGGTAACCAAAAACCTGCCACTGAGACCTAAAAAAATCACAGATTAATCAGAATATAAATATTACAAATAAAACTACAAAATAATTAGAAACAATTTGCATATGCTTTAATATGAATAATATAAAAAATATTGTCCACAACAAAATAAGCATCAATAGCTGAATTGCTGTGGGTCTATGTATATCAATGTTCATTATTTAAATTCTAAATTATTTCACTTTAAAAAATTTTCAGGATCCAAGCTAGCTATTATATTTAGTTCTAATTTTATAAACTAGCTTTAATAAATTGATACAGGATGCGTTTTTTATTAAAAGAGCTGGATGAAATTCCTTAGCCACATCTCACTGAACAGACAAAACAACAAATCGTCATGGGTCTAAGAACTAAGAGAATAGATCAAACTTTTCTTTAGCTTACCTGGATTTTCAGTAACATCAATAACACCCACAGAGATGTCAAGGTCATGTCCCCACCCAGCAAACTCTGACCAGACTTCCTTGAAAGACTTGCAGGCTGGACACCAAGGTGCCATACTAGAATATTTAACAGGAGACTAATTTATAGATGTTGACGTGCTTCTTTTTAGTAATAACATTTAGTTAAAAAATTTAGAAGAGGTGACTTGCTTAATACTTAACATAATCAGGAGACAAGTTTAAAATAACAGCTTATTATATTTTTTTTACATTTAACACAAACAGGAGACAAACTTAGGGTAACAACTTTTTTTTATATTTAATATTTTAATTGAGAGAAGGGTGGAAGTAGGTATTTACTAATTTTAACTAGCATGAGGAGATGCAAATATAGTCCATTGTGTTGAAAAAGATTAGAGATCAGTCAACACCTTTCGCTGTCAGAGATTAACATACAAGTGAATAAATAAACGCTTAAAATGCCTGTAAACAGATTATTTAGCGCCAAAAAAAAAGCAGCTGAACGAGCATTTTTTAAAATACGCAGCAATGAAAAAGGCTAACGGCCAGTCAATTAAGTCTAAAAATCGCCCGTAATTAGGCCTAGCTCTGAAAAAGGCCACTGAACGAGCATCACTAATTATATAAACGAATAGGCCACGCAGCGTTGACGAGGTTAACCACCGGTCACGAATTAAATTCAGAGCAGCTACTGTCGGCCCACAGAGAAGAAAAAAATCAATAGGCTTATACAAATAAAATTAATAATACAATAATAATGTCCATAATTTTACTTTTTCCGCACATGCTACAATTGAATTATAATTAAAATACTAGACTTAACAGTTCATTCCGCAAAAAACAAAAAACTAGTTGTTTCTGTCTGGCAACTAGCGTAAAAATGACGCAACGTTACTAAAAATAACAGAGAGAAATTGTCGCATGGTTACTTACGGGTAATTGGATTTTTGGTAAAGATAATCCCTAATACTGTAATTATAAATGGTAAATATCTCAATTATATATTAATCTACTGTTATACGGGCCGTTTTCCCCATTATACTGTCGTTTTTGGTCGCGGTTCAGTTTATACAGAGAGTGCTCCACTAGAAATCCTCTCATTATTTACAACTACAATTCTAGCGATTTTTTCTGGCATTCTAAGGCATATTATCCATTTTATTAGCATCTTCTGTTAAAATAGCTAGGCCAATGCAAAAATTTAATTTCAGTAAAACAATATAAAAGTTACATATTTGGATAGGGGCTGTCAATCTGATTACAGATCAGTTTAAATTTTCAAAATCTGACCATAAACAAAAAAGTTATGAATTTTTTTGTCATTAAAAAATAGCAGTTTTTTCAGACAACCGGGATAGACCCTGAAAGAGGAAAAATACTGGGAGGGTATGGACCAAATTTTAAAGAGTTTTTCACTAAAAGTGGTATTAAAGCAAGCAGACTTCATCAATTGATGTCATGTTATGGTATTTTATAGATTTTTGTATGCCGAATCCAATGATGCTATTTTAAAAAGTGTCCTTCGATTACATAATCGACTAATCTCATAGATTATGTAATACCCCCCTTTAAATTTTTTTAAAACATCTAATAATCAATGTGATAAGAAGTCATTGTTTAAATGTAACACTGTTTTAATCTATAATATGATATTTATATATGCTGAAGATAATGGTAGTATTTAAAATGGTCCAACATTGTTACATAACTATCAAATGTTAAGGTTATGTAATACCACCCTTTGCTCAAAATATACCATTAATTAGTTTTGAAATCACTTTTGCTCATTGTCAGTTAACTTTAAGTTAATAGCCTACTAAAAGAAAATATAACTAATCAAGTTTTACAATACAAAGGGAAGAATGCTATTACAATAGTAAATTTGTGATTATGTAACTTCTTAAAAGATGTTATGTAATCTATGTCCAATACTTTAGGCCTACTCTATTCCAAAATTTAGGCCTATTTCATTATAATTATATTTCTTGTTATTTTGCTATAAAATTAGTCTAGTCACAAATGTGTCTGAGCAGAATCAGAGTGTGCTTTATGATAATTACGTAATATTATTACCTATATTAAAATTATTCCTTTTTACAATTTCAATAAAATATTTTTTGTAGGAAATTTTTTTTTTTTAAAACTTGCACAAGGTATAGATCTAGTGTAAGTTATAGGTCTATAACATAAATTATATTTAACTTAAGCCCAATGTTTATGCTAGTAGTAAGTAGGCTTATGTATTTTTGTAGGCCTACCAGTAGGCCTTTTAGAATTAAAAACTTTCTTAAGAAAGTGTTTGAGTGCTTGACTGTGTAGATCTTGTAGACTCTAGAAATTGTGTAAGATCACCGTGTTTGGCTATACACAGACACGTATACCACCACCAGCTTTTGCCTAGATTTTGTTTAATCTGACTAGCCAGATCTTCTGACCAACGAATTTTATTGCCCTATTACGTAAACACGACCGCTGGATAGGCTAGTCGGCCAACCCGATGAACGTGTCAGACGAATATTATGTACTTTCAGAGACAAAAGTCTGGCAAGATTTCTTGATCTATGCCCGAGGGTTAGTAACATCAACTCCACAAAGTGAAGGGGGAGGTAGGTGGGGTATGAATCCACCACGAACTGAGTAGGTACCGTACGGGTGTTGTACAACATCAAAGGCGACGACCATCGGCTCGTCGCGTCAGGGACTAGTGGGGGCGGGGTGAGGCTTACGTAGGCTATGGGTGTTACGTTGGGTGTTATACAGAATGCCCACCCACACCCACCCCATCCCTTTTTGGTCAATTATTACAGGCTAGTATCCTCCACGTTGTTAAGCGTATTTAAATGTGTAGTGAAAAAAAGGGGGACCGGGAAAAAAATTAAAGCCGTTTTTATGAAAAAGAAATGCTCTAATTTTAAATGAAATTAGGGTGCGCGAAACGCAGAATTGTTATAATCGGACAGTAACCATCTGGATTAATTTTAAAAACAAGATAAATTTGAAACCTGAGCCGTAAATATTAATAAGACTTTTTTCCCCTTTAAATGGGTAAGGACAAAATTATGAAACATGCCTGTCGGCTTATAGATCTAATCTATATAAAATAGAAATAGCCGTCGAGTCTAACACGGGAACACATGTAGGCCTATCTATCTTTAGAAATTGTTTACAGTATCATCCAATCGGATCGACCGCCTAGCGTCACATGACCAGGCATTCGGATGTGCCACACGGTGTGTAGATCGACACAGCAGAGCACGCAGTCGGACAGCGGTCGGCGCGTTAATTTTAATTTTTGCTCCATTTTAAAATGTATGGGCGGCTTTATTTGGGGGTATTGTAGAGAAAATCATACATATAAATAAACGTCCAGATTTCAGCAATACAGCGCAGGGTTCAAATTAAAAATCGGTCTATAAATAACCCGGGAAACTTGGTTCAACTTTGCTGTACGATATCTCCGAAAGTATTTAATATATTTTGACGACGAACCCTGCGCTGTATACGTCTACATCTAATCTGTATTTCTGCCAAGTTTCACTGTTGTAGTATGTAAACTCGATTCGTGTATAAATATTTTGTAACGCGTCGTCTGTTTAAAGACGGCGATTCGAAGCACAGCCGAGCGGTTCAGTCGGACAGCGGTCGGCGCGTTATATTTTGATTTTCGGTCCACTTCAAAGTCTATAGACGTTTCTATCTTAGGGCATTATAGTACATATCATACATATTAATAAACGTCCAGATTTCAGCAATACAGCGCAGGGTTCAAATTAAAAATCGGTCTATAAATAACCCTGGAAACTTGGTTCAACTTTGCTGTACGATATCTCCAAAAGTATTTAATATATTTTGACGACGAACCCTGCGCTGTATACGTCTACATCTAATCTGTATTTCTGCCAAGTTTCACTGTTGAAGGGCGAAAACTCGAAGAGTCTATAGACTCAAAGTAACAC